GGGGGAAGGGGCGCTGGGGGTGTTGCGGGGGATGGAGGGGGCGAGGACGGCGGGGAGGGAGCTGTGGGGATGAAGGGGGAAGAGGCGCTGGGGGGCTTTGCGGGGGAGGGAGGAGGCGGGGACGGCGGGGTGGGGAGCTGGACAGAGAAAGGAGGCTTAAAGAAGACATTGTGTGGGGAAACCCGGACGTACTGTACAGTGTCTTCGCTTGCCCATTGCTGGGGCAGCCTCCTCTGCCCCGCTGTCTCAGGGTGCCCCTCATAGCAACGGCTCTCTGACCCCATGACTTGATCTCATTGTCAGGCTGAACATCGATGGGCTGCTGGTGTATTTCCCCTATGACTACATTTACCCAGAGCAGTACTCATATATGCTGGAGCTCAAGAGGACGCTGGATGCCAAGGTCCCTCCCGGGGATGGGGGTCTGCGTGGTGGTGTGGAGCACCGGGGAGGGTGGTGTATGGCTAAATACCAGTGCTTGTATTCACCCACGTACCCTTCGGAGCCCCTGAGCCCTGCTCAAGGGGGGCTCAGGGCCGGCTCCAGGCACCAGCCCTCCAAGCATGTGCTTGGGGTCGCACCTGGAGGGGGGCGGCACTCACCCGGGGAGAGCGGGGACGCGGCTGGGCTCTCCGCCCTTCTCCCAGTGCTCCGGCCGGTCGGGGAGAGCGGGGCCGCGGCCGGGCTCTCCACCCTTCTCCCGGTGCTCCGGCCGTCCGGGAAGAGCGACGCCGCCCTCCCCTGGTGCTCCGGCCGGTCTGGGAGAGCGGGGCTGTGACAATGCGGTTCTGGCGGAACCCAACTGAGAGTGCCAACTCAGGACAAATTGCTCAAACAGGGCAGTTACAGCTGGGGTTTTTCCACCTCTAAGGCAAACCAAACCAGCCAGACTAAGACTTCGGTCTCACCCCACTGGCTAACTGCAAGTCTCACAAGCAATCTCCTTAGACACTCCAGTTTCCCAGTATCACCACCAGTGCCACTCGTTATGGGGACAAATGGTTATGAAAACCAAGACCCCAGTAAAAGAAAAAGGTTCTCCTGATCCCAAAGGACCAAGCCCCAGACCCAAGTCAATATACAAATCAGATCTTACCCACAAATCATGCTGTTGCCAATCCTTTAGAATCTAAAATCTAAAGGTTTATTCATAAAAGGAAAAAGATAGAGATGAGAGTTAGAATTGGTTAAATGGAATCAATTACATACAGTAATGGCAAAGTTCTTGGTTCAGGCTTGTAGCAGTGATAGAATAAACTGCAGGTTCAAATCAAGTCTCTGGAACATCCCCCGCTGGGATGGGTCCTCAGTCCTTTGTTCAAAGCTTCAGCTTGTAGCAAAGTCCCTCCAGAGGTAAGAAGCAGGACTGAAGACAAGATGGAGATGAGGCATCAGCCTTATATAGTCTTTTCCAGGTGTAAGAACAGCAAATGGAGTCTGGAGTCACATGGGCAAGTTCCCGCATACTTTGCTGAGTCTGAAGGCATATTTGCCTTCTCTCAATGGGTCCATTGTATAGCTGATGGTCCTTAATGGGCCATCAAGCAGGCTAGGCAGAGCTAACACCAGTTTGTCTGGGATGTCACCCAGCAGCATAGCATAAGTTTGCCATACAGACAGTATAGAGCCAATATT